AAAATTAAACGATATTGAAGACTGTAGAGAACGTGAGGAAGGAAATTAACTCATTCCCAATCATCTCCTCGATGATTCCAACATGAGGACTAAAGAGAACGTGTATGTTTATTACTTGATCATTTCTTGTAATTTTGAATTGTGTTGGATATTACTTCGGGGTTTAGGATTTTTATCTTTGCAAGGTTTGTTTCATTTATTTCCAAGTTCGACTATTGTTTGTGAGTTGTTGTTCATTTAGCCCCCTGTTTGTTTCCCATTATTTGTCAACAAAAATTAATTTTTCCACCCTTTTTTTCCAACACGTGGGTCCCATTGTGAGAGAAAAAGTCAAAAAAATGGCTACTCAGATTTGCAACAATAAGAAAATTTATTAAAATGGGCTAAGATGTGGGACGCCCTCCCAGAGATGACCTGTATAGACATTGACAGGGCATGATGAAGCACATAACCCTGAAATAGATAGATCTAATTGAGTTACTTTTTAAAGTATGAGGCCTAATTTTCCCAATAGATAGGGCCATCGTAGAGATCCACGAAGGGAGATTAATCATGGCCCATATGAGAGATAAATACCATATTTAAGGCCCCTATGTGTGGGGGGTGGGCAATCCAAAATACCTAGAAAAATCACGCCATAGAGGCAAGAGACCTGCCTCTAACGAGCCACACTGTTAACAACCAACCTTTCTAATCCAGAAGAGTGGAACAATCTCCTTCATTAAGAAAGATGATAAGAGGATCCACTATATTCAAGAGACACCTTGGAGGTGAGAGCTATCGTTGCCTATAATGGGATGAAGCGAATGTTTGTGGACAATGAGAGTATTTTCAACATCATTTTTGGAGTCTTTTGGCAAAATGCAGTTGAATCACCCATTTACCCCTACCTCGACTTTGTTATCTGGATTTACGGGAAACAACCTCACCTGAAGGAAGAAGATCAGGATAAGTGTATAAATACACTTATTCGAACTTTGAAATATTTACAATTCATTGTTCTTTTGATAAATTATAGTATAATCTTGCGTTTGTTTCGTTTATTAGGAGAAATTCGATGATTCAACTTGAAATTAGAAGAAAAGAGCGAAATCCAAAGTTCGAGGACCAAATTATAAATATTTAATAGTTGGTTCAGATCACAAGACAATACTTGAAGATTGCTAGAAATCAACTGGATACAATTATAAGTAAAAAAAAAAAAAAAATTAAATATGATCAAAGTATTATCACAAATTAATTTTCAATCGCACAAGTTATATCCCAAATTTTTAGCCGAAACTTTAAACCCATTTTTGACATAGTAAATGTTCAAATCAGAAAAATTCTATTTCTAGCAAAGTTTTCACACTCTGAGTTAGTTTTCCAACACTTTAAATTGCTTCAATCGAATATTGAAAGATTATGACCAAAATATTGATGATTGTGTAGAGACAAAAGCATGCACACGCGAATGTAACTTTCCATATTTGATTGGAACTCTTTTATAAATCAATTTGGATGTGATTTTCAACTAATTTTTCAACTCCTACAAATACCTAATAGCAGAATGCATTAGAGACACATTTCATACACTAAAATTCATCAATTGACATTATCAAAAGATACCAACCTATTGTTCTAGTGAGAATTAAATGACAATACAAGTTTTCAAGAAATTAGAGTTTCAACCCTAATTTTTGGAGAGACAATAAGAAGATATATTTGAGATTTATCAAGAAATCATTGAAGAGATTCAAGATTTCAAGATCCATCTTCTTTTCATTCATCAATCTAGAATTTGGATTACGTTCTTCAAATTAAATATATGTTCTTGTGATTTTGTAATGCTAGGATAGGGTTTTAATTACTAAGATATTGATGAACCCTTATTATGATATTTTAATATGAATTCGATAATTTGACATCAATATGTTTTTATTCTTGAATGATTTTTATAGGATTTAATGACTTTTCAATTACTTGAT